CAGGTGAGCTGAAGTAGACACGGCTACAAAAAAGTTGCAGAAGAATCTGACAATACCACAGAAAATTGCTGCTGAAATTCCATGTCAATAAAAGTCAAGTGTGGGCACAATGAGAGGGTTTAAATTAGCCCGGGAAAGAGGTTCTGGCGTCATTGCAGATGGTGCTTTGGAAACATCTGCTCCGTGCTCAGCAGAGGTCAGGAAGGCAAGTGGAATGCAAAGAATTGCTGGGAAAGGGATGGGGAATGAAAGAGGAAATGTAAGTGCAGGGCTGAATAAATCCATGGGGCTCTTGAGCACAGTGGAATTCCAGTCACCCCGGTGACTGCAGTGGGGAAGGAGAGCTGGAGAGATGCAGGGAAGGGTGAGAAGGCTGCCCTGGGTTATGGATGGGAGTGAAAGGCTCTGGATCTGGCTGAAGCCATTAATGGGCAGGATTAAGGTGTAAAATCCAGATTTCTGTGGACAGAGGGGAGAAGGAATTGTATTAAGAGGCACCAGGATGATCAGAGGGATGGAGCATCTCTGCTGTGAGGAAAGGCTGAGAGAATTTGGGGTTGTTTACTCTGGGGAAAAAAAAGGATTTGGGATGACTTTTGGACCTTCCAGTGCCTGAAGGAGCCTACAGAAAATGTAGAGAGGGACTATTTGCCACAACCTGGAGGGGCAGGACAAGGGGGAATGGCTTCAAACTGAAAGAAAGTAGGTTTGGATTGGATGTTAGGAAGAAATTCTTCCCTGTGAGAATGGTGAAGCCCTGGCACAGGGTGCCCAGAGAAGCTGTGTCTGCCCCTGGATCTCTGGAAGTGTCCAAGTTCAGGTTGGACAGAGCTTGGATCAGCCTGGGATAGTGGAAGGTGTCCCTGCAAATGGCAGGGGGTGGAACTGGATGAGCTTTAAGGTCCCTTCCAACCCCAGACTGTTTGGGATTCTGAGATCCAGTGTTTAGTGACAGAGCATGTGCTGACAACTCTGGTTGTCAATGGTCAGGCAGAGGTTTAAAGCCAAAAACAGGAAATAAACTTTCACAGTCTGCAAAGAATTAGGAAAATCATCAAACACATCTTTTACATGCTGAAAGTACAGGTTGGCTGAAAAACTTATAGTGCTGAGATTCCCAGTGCTGACTTTGGCACCTCCATGATCCTGGAGGTCTTTTCCAACCTTAATGATTCTGTGATTCCTTATTCCTCTTCCAGTGTCCCCTCTGCAGCTGGGTGAGATTTGAGATCTGGTTTGGTTTGACCCCTCCCTGGTGGAATCTGACAGGATTTTTGGGCCGGATTATAAGCAGTTAAAGGGTCTCCTGTGATGTTGCAGTGCCTTGGCAGTGCTGGGTTAACAATTGGAGTCATGATCTTTCAGGGCTTTGATCTCTCCTATGACAAAAGCCACAGAAATCCTCTGAAGGAATAAATTCTCTCTGAATTGCAGTGGTATATTGGAGGGTGAAATGATCCAATGATTCCTTAAAAATTTCCTGGCCTGAGTTAAAAATCCCAAGGGTTAATTGTAGCACAGTAATGAGAAGTCTTATTGGATGGCTCAGGAATTTTGAGACAGAGAGGACTAAAAATTGTTCTAGAACAGGATTACCATCAAATTATATCAGCCTCAGTGGCAGGAAATCAATCCAGAGTGGGCTGATTTACACTTGCCAGAGCCAGCACATCCTGAACTTCCCCATGTCTCCCAGTGATGTTTTTATCTTCACATCAACACTCTCAGTGCGAGGAAAATAATTTTCCCTTTAAAATCCAAACATCCAGAGTGTCAGGGCCAGGGGTTCCCACTGACAACAGCACCAAAGTGCAATGTAAGGACTCCTCTTGGGTTCCGCTTTATTCAGGTTTTAATGGGCTGGGAAGGGATAAATGATGTTTATGCCCTCTTGTGGTGCCACGTTGAACAGAATGGATTCCCTAACTGACAAAATGAAGCCAATGATGGAGAAGTCCCAGGTTAAAAATCTGTAACAAACACTGTTTTGCACAGTGGAAAAAAACTCTTCCCTGTCCAGCAGCATCCTCATGACTCAGGGAAGGGGGAGAAGCGAATTTTGACTGCATTTGCAGCAGCAGGTAAATGAGAAATGGCCACGATGGCAGAGTTTGTGTCATCTTTCAGCAGTGAAGATCATTCCAAAGTGTTTTCTCTGTGCTGGGAAGGTTGGGAAGTGGAACAGTGCTTTGTAAAAGGAGCTGTGTTCACACCTCTTTGAGTTTGGTGCTGTTGATGTGTTGTAGTGCAAACCTTCACATTTTATTTTCTTTACTCACATGTCTGACAGGTGAACAAACTGATTTCCTTGGGACAAAGCCTGTCCCAAAGATGGAAAAAAGCTGGTTGGTGATTTTACATGGGGAAATAAGGCTAGGCTCCTGTGAAATGGAGCTTGTGATCCCAATTCTTTGTGTGTGAACATAAGGAATTAATGAGTCAACACCTTCCTAAGCTGTGCTGATAAATCTGGTGCAGGGTTGGGCACTCAGGGCTCTCCAGACTGGTCAATCATGGATTTTGTATCCATCTTATCACTTCATTCCTGACTGAAGACTGAACACAGCAGAATGTGTCCCTTAGACAGTGAAATTGTGGGAATAAATCAGAGCAGTGCTCTCCAAAGCCCAGCAGCTGCTGTCAGGCTGTGGGCAGGGCTTGGCTGTGCTGAGGCAGGATCTGGGAAACCCCGGTGGGGGAAATTTGGAAACTTTTTGTCCCAACTAATCACCTGCTGTTTAAGTGCAGTATCTCCATTGCATGTCATCCTTGCCTCTCCCCAGCCATGTAGCAGATGAAAGAGGAAGGGAATAATTTGCTTTCCACTTCCAGGATGAGTAAACTCTCAATACTGGGTTTAAATGAATGTACTGGGTTTAACTGGGCTAGGTTTAGAAGGGACTCTCTAACAGGATGGAAAATATTGCAATGAAGATTTCCATCCCCAAAAATCTTCCATAACCAATGTTTTTTTGGGATCAAGGCTGCTACCATTCAGTCTATCATGATGAAGGAGGGTGGACTTGATGACTGATGGCAGATTCACAATTTTGTGATTCCATGTGATGGTTTCCCTTTATTTATATTTTATATATTTAATAGTATGATGAAGTAACAAATCTTTTTCTAGGAATCCTAAATGTTGACCCTTCAATCAATTCTGTCTACATCCAGAATTTATAACTACACTTTGCAACAGGACTCTGAGATTAATTAAAGTGCTTATTAGGTTTTAGCATGGACTTTAGAGCACAAGTCATGTCCACACTGAGAAGAGAATTGGCTCCAAAATGTTGGTGTTTACCAGTTTCCTTAGGAAAGGACAATGTAATGGGGAAAATGTCACGGCAATTCATCTTATGAAGAAATTCCCTCTGTCAGAAACCTCTCAGGAGTTTCAAATTCAGCTAGGGGATATCAGAAAGCAATTAAAGTCTAATTTAAAATCCCCACCCACATTCTGTCTTCTCTTCCTGCCAAGTGGTTATTGCTCCTGGTACATGTATTGGCAAATCTTTCTGAAATGCACCATAATTTGCCTTAAAACTTAAAACTTTCTGGTCAAGATGAAACTTTTTGAAGAATGAGTCTGCAGTGACTCTGTGGGGAAAAAAAAAGCCCAAATTCTCTGATTTCCCAAGGACATCCTTGAGGTTGAAATTTCACCCAGAAATTCTTCTTGGACAAAGACATTGGGGTGGATTTTGAAGCCAGGGCACTTTCCAGGGGAGGTTCCTGGACACTGCAGCTTCCCAGGGTGGATCCCAGTGTGTTTTCCCTTTGTTTTCCACTTTCATTGATGGCTCCATCAGTGCCCGGGTTAATAAAGAGAATAAAAGTGTGGCCGTGGCAGATTAAACAAATGAGCCATTAAAAGGGGATGGCTCCCTCCCTCTCTGTGCCCACAATGCCTCCCAGCAAAGCACCACGAGAGCAGGGATGAAAAGCTTTCAGGGACGAGCTGGGAATGTGCGACGCCCGTGGCTCCTTCAGGAAGGAATCCTAACATCATTCACAGCAAACCACTAATAGCTTTCCATGGTCTTTCCTGACAGGTGTTGACGGAGGAAGGCTTTGGCCCCATCACCACAGAGATCCGGGAGGCTCCTGAGTTTTTTTACGCCGAGGAATATCACCAGCAGTACCTCAGCAAGAACCCCGGCGGGTACTGCGGCCTGGGAGGGACGGGGGTTTCCTGCCCCATGGGCCTCAGGAAGTAGCCTGTGCTTGCTCCACCACCTCCTCTTCATTGTAGGCAGCTTGGGAAAAAAATAAAAAAAAAAGACCAGGAACCTCGGTGGATGTTCACGCAGCATCTGTGGATAAAGATTTGGGAATCTGCTGGGGAGGCTTTCCGTAATCAGAAGTTACATCAAAATCCAAAGCAGAGGCAGGAATTGCTCCCACAACAGCTTCTTGCTCTGTGCAGTTTCCTTGTCACCTGGAGAGGTGGAAAGAGGTCCAAACTTCTGAAGTTTGGCTTGAAATGCTGCTAAAAGGGTGAATTAGGAGGTGGTTGCACCCGTAGCTGCTTTGCATTTCCAATGCCTTTGGGCTTTTTGATTTTCTTGGGTTAATTAATTTCCTGGTGGTCTCAGAGCTTTGACTTCTGGAGATGTGGTTGGGTTCCTTACCTGTCACAGCCCTAGAATTTGATGTCTTTGGGAATGATGAATTGATCAGATCAGTGATTCTCCTACCACAGCTCCACTTTCACAGCATTTAATACCACCTGTAGTGCCTATTTTCTGAAATTATTTTAGCCAGAAAAAGGTCAAAATTGCAATGTGATGCTTCTTTTTGACAGTTCCAAGAAGTGAATAAACACAAAAAGAAATCAGTTTTGTTTCCTGCTCTGCAATAAATGACAGAACAAGAAAAGCACAATGTTCTCTGTGATGTGTTCCAAGTGGATATCTGGGTAGATCTAAAACAAAATTATCAAATATTATAAAATGCTGCAGTTTTCTAATTAAACACCAGGGTGTTCATATCTGTATAATCAGGCATGACAGTACAGAGGAGTGGAATTATCCCTCTGATTAATTATTTGTACTTTAATAACTTGGGGAGCACCCACCAAGAGCAGACTCATGGCAAATGTAACTTGGGGCAGTCTCCAGTGAGTGTGCAGTCAAAACAGCAAGCCAGCCAGAAAGGGGAAAAAAAAAATTTTGGGTTTATTCACAGGGTCCTCAGAGTGCAGACTCAAAGCTGCAGACAAAGGATACAGGAATGCACAGTTTATCCCATGTGGAAATGGGATCCTGTGGGTCCAGAGCTCAAGGAGTGAGCCAGTTTTGGTGGACAGAAGGTGGGACTCAGAGTACAATTCCACAGCACCTCCTTCCTCGTGGAACTGCTCTCCATAGCTTGGTTTGATGTTTCCTGCTCACCAGCTCAGCTTTAAAGCTCAAAAAGGCCCAAAGCAGCTCCCTGAACTTCACCTGTAGCTACACAGCAGAGCAGATCATGCTCCAAGCTTGGAGAATCTGAAAAAGTTCCCCACAAAGTCAGCGTTTGGGGTTGTAAATCCAGTGCTGCAGCCCTGCCCACTCTTTCCAAACATGGGGAGTAAGTGTGTGCCAGAAAAATCATCTCCCCATCTTCCCTCGTGCTCCTCAGCTGATGCTGAGCTCATCCCAGTCTCAAAATCCAGGGGAAATCTGTCCTCTTGGCAGATTGCACCTGGGTCAGGCTGACAGGAGCTGCCTCAGGCAGGATTGACCCATTGGGCTCTTTCTGGAGGTGCCCCAAAATGTGCCCACAGCGCACTCAGAAGTTTTGTTTCTGTGGTAACTGATCCTATCCCTAACCTGTCCTGCCATGGAGTTTTTTTCAGTGCTAACAGACAAGTAAACCAGCACTTGTGTCTCATTTCCTTGGCATGAAGTGACAGAGAAGCAAAAAAGAGAGGGAAATAAAATCTCACCCTCATCTTATGCCTTGTCAGCCTCTGTGAAATCCAGACTCCAGTGGGATAATTCCTGATGTGCTCCAAGGCAAAGCATTTCAGGAGCTGAATCATCTGGGGGATCATGAAATGTCTCCTGGTTCCTTTCCTTTCCTCTCCCTCCCCTCCCACTCCATGCTGTAGTTATTATTTTGAAACAAGCTGGAAAGTTTTTGAGAAAAACTCTTATTGTAGATATCCTCAAGTCTGAACCTGGCTGAGGATTTTTTAAAGTCCTGTCATGAGGGAAATGATGTCTTGGTCTAAAGATCAGCATAATGCCTCCATTGATACTACAATTGGCCCACACCAAAATATTTTGGTACCACAGAATTATTTACTGACACCTTTGATTTGATTTTGGTTTAAGAGTTTTGATTGGGCTCTGAAAATTGTCCTTTGACAGAGCTGCTGCTTTTTCCTACAAACACAGAATCCCAGAGTTGTTTAGGGTGGAAGGGACCTTAAAGATTATCCAGTTCCACACCCTGCCATGGGCAGGGACACCTTCCACTATCCTAGTTTGCTCCCAGCCCTGTCCAGACTGGCCAGGAACATTTCCAGGGATGGGGCACTTTTTCTGTTTAAGTACATTCAAGTCAATGCCCCTGGCAGGGTTTAACTGGAAAGAAAGTTACCAGGAAATGATAAAATTAATGTGATGATAAGCTTTGGAGATGAAGTTGGAAGCTGAGACAGCTCCTGAAGTCTTCAAAGATGGTTCAAGATCTAGCAAGGGTTACAGCACCAAGCTGATGAAATCCTCCATTGCCACATCCTGTGAGGTTAGGCCGGGATACAGACAGGAATTCCACTTTGTCCCTGTGAGAGCCAGAGGAAAACACAAACCTTTTGGAAACCCCTGAGCTTTCCCTCAGTGACCCTTTTGCCTTGGGAAGGAGCACCCAAGTGCTGCACCAGCAGGAGGAGTGGGTGCTGTGATGTCACCTGGGTTGTGTTGACATGGAATGCAGGCCATGTCCTGAGGCATCTGCAGAGGCATCACTGCTCTGGGAGCTGTGGGACAGTGTTGGACCTGGGTGGATTTGAGATGCTGCTCCTTACCCTCTCCTGTTTAGCTTCCCTGACCAGCCCTGTCCAGGCAGGTTTCGTTTCTCAGCATTCTCAGCACAGAAGAGCTGCAGAACATTCACTTGTGGGTAAGTGAAATGGGTCTGGGCTTATTCCTTCTGCTGAGGGAATAAAGGTGTGGCCTGTGCTGCAGCCTGATGCACCTTCCACTCCCTAAACCAGGATTTTATCCCACCTGCCTATGGGACGTGGTCAATGGTGCATCCCACCCCAAATTCCCAGGCAGTGCTTGGCAAAGTTTAGGTTTGGGGAGGTGACAGCGATGTCACGTTGTGAGAGATCAAATAACAGATCCAGGGAGGGCATTCTCACCTTTTACTCTGCTGAGACCCACCTGCAGAGCTGCTCCAGCCCTGGGGCCAGCAGCAGAAGGACGTGGAGCTGCTGGAGAGAGTCCAGAGGAATCCATGGAGCTGCTCCAAGGGCTGGGGTCCCTCTGCTCTGGAGGCAGACTGGGGGTGTTCACCTGGAAAAGGCTCCAGTGAGACCTCAGAGCCCCTTTCAGTGTCTAAAGAGGCTCCAGGAGAGCTGGAAAGGATTTTGGGACAAGGGATGGAGGTACAGGACATTGGGAATGCCTTCCCACTGCCAGAGGGCAGGGATGGATGGGATATTGGGAAGGAATTCCTGGGTGTGAGGGTGGGGAGGCCCTGGCACAGGTTTCCCAGAGAAGCTGTGGCTGCCCCTGGATCCCTGGAAGTGTCCAAGGCCAGGCTGGACAGGGCTTGGATCAATCTGGGATAGTAGAAGTTGGAGTTGGAATGGAGTTGGAAAAATGATTTTTAAATCCCTTCCAACCCCAAGCATTCTGTGATTCCCTGTTTCTCTGCTTCCATGGATATTTCTGTTTCATTGCTCAGGGATGTCCTGCCCCTGTCCAGCACAGGCTGTGACTCTGCTGAATGTGTCCAAAATGTCCCTTTTTGTACCCAGGCTGTGGCCTCCGACCATCCTACGAGTCCTTCCAGAAGACTGGCAAGAGGATTGGCACAGGGACAGATGTCAGGCCTGGGGAATTGCCATGGCTCGTGAGCATCCAGAGCCATGGGAAGCACATCTGTGGAGGCACCATCATCAGTGCACTGTGGATTCTAACTGCAGCCCACTGCTTTGCAGATGAGCTGTGAGTGCCCCAGGGGTGGGAGGGCAGCCCAGGCACAGGGTGGGGTGACTTTCCTCCAGGTGGGTGCAGGATGTGCATCTCCTCCTGTGCCACATTTGTGTGACTGAGCCCTAAAAACAGGGGTTGTCTCGTCTGCGGGAGACAGGCCCATATTTGAACACAGAAATGTGCAGAAATCTGCATAACCATTTCCAATGCCTTTGGACTTTTTGATTTTGTAGGGTTAATTCATTTCCTGGTGTTCCCAGAGCTTTGACTTCTGGAGATGTGGTTGGGTTCAAGCAGAAGGGAAATACTTTGAGGGATGTGGTTGGGTTCATCCCTCAGTACTTTGAGGGATGGCCAAGCAGCCTTGAATAAATGCCCCCAATGCTATTCTGATGGCCCCAAACACATCTTGTGCACCTGTTCCAGTACCTTGTAAATGTGATGTATTCCATTCTAGCTCATTATATCCCCCAAATTACCTTTGCTTTCACACACCAAACACCTTTACCTCATGGAGACTCTGAATTTAAAACACCAAGTTCTGGATAAATCAACTCCATGCTGTATCCAGGGAAAGAGTCCAGCCCTCTGTGAGTCCCCTCCAAAATGTGGCAGCCGAGACTGCTTGGTGACAAATGACCAGCACAGCCTGAGCAGCTGGGTCTGAGCAGCCAGCCCAGGGCACAGAGATCCAAAAGATCCAGACCATTCCATCTGCTTGGTAGTGACTGGGTTATTTATAGTCTGCATTCACATTCTACCTCTGCACCTCTCTGCCCTGGAAATCGTCCTTTCCTAGGAGTTGAGGGTAAATTCCTTGGGTATTTATAGCTGAACTGCCTCAGCCACCATCATGCCCTGTTCTGGGGAGAAGGACCAACCTCCATAACCCAAATCCTTCACGTTCACCATGTCCTGTTTTGTTTTTAAGGCCAGCAGATCTGAGGGTGGCAGTGGGGAGAGTTGACCTCAGCTTCCCGCTGGAGGAGCACAACCCGGACAGCCTGATCCTGCACGAGGAGTTCAACAGAACCAGCCTGCAAAATGACATTGCCCTGATCCTGCTCAGCAGTCCCATCAAGTTCAACATGGAGAAAATTCCCATCTGCCTGCCCTTCGTATGTGACATGGACATGTGGCAGCACTGCTGGGCTGCTGGCTGGGAGGGCACAAATGCAGGTGAGGTGCTGGGGGAGATGAGTTTGCTGGTGGAAAATGGGGTTTATCTATTTAAAGTGGCTGTCCTCTCCCATGAGGGGTTTCACAGGCAAAGTTCCACTCTCCACCTTCCTGGTTTATGCATCCAGACCAGCCCCAGCCTCTGCACATCCACCAGTTCCCTGTTCAGGGCAAGAACCAGTCACCAGCAGACCCCCAGAGCAAAATCTGGGACTTATTTTGGCACCACATCCAAACTTTGGACCTCATTTTGGCAGCCAGATTAAGACAATCTCCACCCTGGTGGGTAAATAAGAACAGAATCATGACATTATCAGGGCTGGAAGGGACCTTAAAGCTCATCTTATTCCAATCCCCTGCCCACCTTCCACTATCCCAGGTTGCTCAGAACCCCATCCAGCCAGGTCTTGAACACTTGTCACCTTGTAGGACCCTTGTGGGTAACTTCAGCTTGATATTCTGTAAATCACCCAGTTAGGCTGGGTCTAAAATGGTCTGGACTAAAGGAAATGAAGGTCTATATTTGGCTTAATGCCTCTCTGAGCTGGATTGAATTATTGGTTCTGGCCACTCCTTCCTTCACTCATTTGGGACTGCAGACTGCTGTTGCTAATTGATCTCATTTAAGCCCTAATGAAAGCAGTTCCAGCACTGATTGTGACCCAAAATGTCTATCCTGAACAAATGTCACTAATTAGCCAATGAGCTGTTTCATTATTGGAAAGAATTAATCAGGACTGGGAGGGCAGGGGGTGCCTTGGAACTTGAGTGGTCCTTCCCAGGATGCAGTAAGTGAATATCCCATTGAATCCTTGCTATTCTGCTCCAATTGCTGGGTTTTTTTCCCCATGAAACTTTGCATTTGCCTTCTTAGGCTTCATTTTCCTCCCTCAACAGTAACACACAACACTCTCACAGTTGTGAGGCTCTCCCACTTCACCAAGGTAACATGTTCCCAAAACAGAGGGGTTGCTGCAGAGTCCCTCTGACGGATTTTTTTTTTGAGCTCCTCTGTGCAAAATCCATGGAGCAGCTCTGGGGATTGGCCTTGTGGTGCTCTGTGGGCTCAGCTGACACAGATTCTACTTCCAAAATTTGGTGTCAATGTGCTCAGCCCCGGAACCCCCCACCCTCTGTCTGGTAGAGGCTTCAGAAGAAATCCAGCAGCAGCTGAGCGTGGTGAGAGGGGGTGTGAGGGTGTGATATGGGCAAAGCCAAAAGGTACAGGATCAGGGAATGGTTTGGGTTGGAGGGACCTTAAAACTCATCCCATCCCACCCCCTGCTATGGCCAGGGACACCTTCCTCCATCCCAGGTTGATCCAAGCCCTGTCCAGCCGGTCCTTGGACACTTAGAGGGATTCAGGGGCAGCCACAGCTTCTCTGGGCACCATCTGCCAGGGCCTCCCCACCCTCACTGCCAAGAATTCCTGCCCAATATCCCATCTAACCCTGCCCTCTGGCAGTGGGAAGGCATTCCCTGTGTCCTGTCCCTCCATCCCTTGTCCCAAAACCCTCTCCAGCTCTCCTGGACCTCCTTTAGGCTCTGGAAGGGGCTCTGAAGACTTCCCAGAGCTTTCTCTTCCCCAGGTGAACACCCCCAGCTTCTCTCCATGACAGGAGAGCTTCACCTTCCTGGAAATTCCTCCACCACAGCATTTTCATCTTTGGGCACTTCCATCTTAGCTGGAAAAGGGACGTGACAGCTTTCCAGCTTTTAGATCTTGTCATTCTCAGTTTCCTGAAGGTTCTGGGAGGATTTAACCCAGTGAAATATGAAACAAGGAGTGAGTTTCAAATGATCTGAAGGTCTCAGTTTTATCCTTTAGACTCAGGTTCACTTTAGAGAGAAACATGGGTGAAATATTTGGGGTTTCCAAATAGCCCAGCACATTTTTCAGTCTTTTTGTCACTTGCAGGTGCCAGCTGTGATTTCTGTGTTCCCAACCCAAGGGAAGAATAAATCAGATATTTCCTTTGGGTCACTTTGTGAAGATACAGCTGGTCCCCTGGGTGAGGCGTGGCATTGCAGCCCTCCCTGAGGACAACAATGTTTAGATTGGATATTAGGAAAAAAATTATTTCCTGGGAGAGTTGTTGGGCATTGGAACAGCTGCTCAGGGCAGTGGGGGAGTCCCCATCTCTGGAGGAATTTAAAAGCCATGTGGATGTATATTGTATTTGAAGGGTGCCCCAATGAAGGAAGGAATAATGAATCTGACTCCAGGTTCTCAGAAAGCTAATTTATTATTTTATGATACTATATTATATTAAAGAATTCTATGTTATACTATACTATAGAATACAGAAAGGATACTTACAGAAGGCTAAAAAGATAATAATGGAACTCGTGACTCTTTCCAGAGTCCCGACACAGCTTGGCCAATGAGTCAAAACAACTCACAGCAAAAAGCAATGAAACAATCACCTGTTGGATAAACAATCTCCAACCACATTCCAAAGGAGCAAAGCACAGGAGAAGCAAATGAGATAATATTGTTTTCATTTTTCTCTGAGGCTTCTCAGCTTTTCAGGATAAAAATCCTGGGCAAATGGAATTTTCCCGAGAATATGAATGTGACAGATGTGGCACTTGGGGACAGGGATCAGAGGTGGCCTTGGCAGTGCTGGGGGAACAATTGGACTGGATGATCTCAAAGGTTGTTTCCAAAGTAAATTATTCCATGATTCTATAATTCTATTAGAATTCTATGGAAAGCTCAGTGGACTTTGATCTGCAGAGGCTTGCACAGGATCCCATGAAAAGCCCCTCAGACTGAGTTCCCAAAAAACCACAAGTGAGAAACCCTAGGTGTGCAGGACAGCTGAACTCATCTCAGGTGATCACTGAGACCACCAGCAGGAAAATCCACCCCTTTGGGGGTTTCCCAGTAGTCTGGTATCCCTGGCAGTGTCCAAGGCCAGGTTGGATGGGGCTTGGAGCAGCCTGGGATATTGAAAAGTTTCGCAGCCCATGGCAGGGGGTGGCACTGCATGATCTTTAAGGTCCCGTTCCACCCAAACCATTCTGGGATTCTGTGATAAACTCAGGAGCACAAACTCGTCACTGCCAACACTTGGGGATCTCCTGTGACCCCAAAACCCCACGGTTCTGCCCAGAGACCCCATTGCCCTGAGATACTTTAGGAATCCAGCTGAGATTCTTCCCAAGGGAAGCCTCCAGCTGCTCTGCAGCTTTGTTGATCCTTCTCTTTTCACTTGCTGCAGCATCCCATGTGCTGCAGAAAGCAAGGATGAAGCTGATCAACAGGGAGAAATGCCTGAAGCACATCCCACACCTCGTGGGGGGAACGATGTGTGCTGAGACAGAGCAAGGAGGAGGAGAAGGAGGAGGAGGAGGAGGAGGCTGTCAGGTAAAGGGACCATCCTGGTCTGCTTCATGGCCAGGTTACACCCCGAAAGGAGACAGAAATGGTTTTCCAGGAGCTTCAAGACAAAAAAATTGGGAGGGAAGTTTAATCTGGGGGTGTTTAATTTAGATAAGAAGCATTTCTCAGGTGAGGCCTTGGCTCTGACCCAAATGTGCTTGGTTGGTCTGTGGGTGCCAGAATGAGTCACATCTTGTGGCAGTGTGTTGGTGACAGAGAATGAGGGACTTTTCAAGCTAAATTACAGTCTGAGCAGTGTTTGATATTAGGGAGCTGACACAAACACCCAAATGAGGCAAAACTCACTCACAACTTGTGCCCTCACAACACATTCCACCCCCAGGATCGTTGTCCTGGAGTCACATGAAGCCTGGAAGCCAAAAATTCACTTTGTCTTTCACAGCGTCCAAATTCCAGCCCCTCTCCTGAAAGACTGACAAGGACTGGGCTCTCCTGCAGCCTCTGGTTCCAGGGTGAGATTTCCCTCCTCCACTGGGAAATGTTTTTTCTTGGAATCACAGAGGGGTTTGGGTTGGACAGGGCTTTAAATCTCACCCCCTGCCATGGGCAGGGACATCTTCCATTATCCCAGGCTGCTCCAAGACCCATCCAGGTGTGTTTTATACATGTCCATGGGTTTGGAGGGGTCTGGATGGGGAGACACATGGATGGACAGCTCCATCCTGTAGGAATTACTCAAACCAGCACCCAGGACAGAGAGAGATCCTCTAACCTTTAGGCAAAGGCAGGGGGCACCAGAACCATGGGATGCTCAGGGAAAGTTTGCTTTGCAAAATGATTTTGTGATTAGCCAGAGAGCATCTGCCTCTGAAACCATACAAGTGACTTTCCCCTCCACTAAATTAAATCTAAAAATGTTAAAAAGAAACCTGCCACAAGATAACATTAACATGATTAAAGGATTCAATGCCCAGCCCAGCCTAGCCTGAAGTTCTGTGGGTGAATGATGCTGGTGAAATAGCAGAAGCACTTGTTCCCAGCAAAATGAATCTCCTGGACTCAGAAAGCTGATGAAGAAGCTATGTAGATCCACAATAATGACAGAGTTGTCTGAGGAATGAAGTAGGAATGTGAGATTTCCAAGCAGTGGAAGCACATGTCCTTTGCATGGGTGATAAAACTCAGAATTCAGCATCTCTCTGACTTTAGTGGGATCTTGACCAGGCAGGAATGCTTTGTAAACTGGAATAAAAGGAACAGGACAAAAACAGAGCTGAGGATAGAAGTTGTACTTTTCAGGGATGAAACAAGTGACAGGACTTGCCACCAGATTTTGCTGATTTGCTGGAGGGGAAGCGTTTTGCTGCTGGATGGTTTCCTGGATTTCTGAGAAGTGCTATTAAAGCCATGGGGGACATTTTGATCTCAACAGGCTGGGTCAGCAACCTGGTGATGGCCTGGTATAGGACAGGGCTGAACCTGATGCTTCTTCTGCAGCAGGGACCACTGGGCAGAATCCCTGAATTATTTAGGTTAGAAAAGCCTTCCAAGATCATCAAGTCCATCCTGTGACCAATCCCCACCTTGTCCCCAGCCCAGAGCACTGAGTGCCACATCCAGACCTTCCTTGGACACCTCCAGAGATGGGGACTCCAAACCTCCCTGGGTATGCCTGACCACCCTTCCAGGGAAGAATTTTTTTCCAATATCCAATCTAAACCTCCCCTGACACAGCTTGAGGCCGGTTTCCCTTGTCTTGGAGCAGAGCCTGACCCCCATGGCTGTCCCCTGCTGTCAGGGAGTTGTGCAGAGCCACAAGGTCCTCCCTGAGCCTCCTTTTCTCCAGGCTGAACCCTTCTCCCAGCTCCCTCAGCCCCTTCTGGTGCTCCAGCCCCTTCCCCAGCTCTGTTCCATTCCCTGGACACCGTCCAGCCCCTCACTGTCCCCCTTGGAGTGAGGGACAGAACTGGACAATCCATCTGCCCTGTGGGCAGTGCAGCCTCTCAAGCTTTGATTGCCTGTGAGGATTGCAGGGTTTGTGTCAGATGAGAGTGAGGGCAGATCTCAAAATGCCCAAATCCTTCACGTCCTCATCTCTGTCGTGGAGACAGAGCAGCCCTGGGCATGGCATTGGTCTGCTCCATCCAGCTGTCTCCTGGGGAGCTGCCAGGCTCCAGATCTTGCATGGATCAGGAGCCACCCAGGAGTCCCTGGGGAAAGGCCAGGAAGGATTAGAAACTTGGGCAAGGCAGAGATTCCTGGTCAGGGAACAAACCCTGGAGATGCTGAGTTTGCTCTAGTAGCTGTAGCCCAAGGAAGTCTGGACACAGAGGAAATAAAAGCCTGATATTAACCTTTCCTGGGATTTGCTGGGGATCAGGATCCATGCTTTCATGTCCAGAACCCGGCTAAGGCAGGAAAATTGCTGGACTTGAGGTTGGAAATCCACATAATCCACATCAGGATCCAAATCTGTGAACTGTGATGGAGGGAACAACTTTTCACATGGGGAGACAGTGACAGGACAAAGGAGAATGATTGTAAACCAGAAGAAGAGATATTTAGATGGGATATTAGGAAGGAATTCTTCCCTGTGAGGGTGGTGAGGCCCTGGCATGGGTGAAGCTGTGGCTGCTCCATCCCTGGAAGTGTCCAAGGCCAGGCTGGACAGGGCTTGGAGCAACCTGGGATAGTGGAAGAAATTCTTCCTGATGTCCAACCTGAACCTCCCCTGGTGCAGCTTGAGGCCACCTCATGAATAGAGAAGCCAAGAATAAAAAGACTCAGACATCTCACCAGCTGCCCTCATACCAGACCAGCCTAATTTGTGGATAGCTGACCATGTTCCACTAATAACTCAAGGAGATTGAATAGCAGAGCTCCCAAGTATTTGTACCTAAAAAAAAATAATCCATTCCCTTAAAAAGAAAAATCTATTCTATCCCAATTCCCTGGCAGTTCTGCAGACAAATATATGGATTGGCTGGGAATTAACACTACCAGGAGCTGTAATTGACTTATAGTTCTATTTAGTCATAAACATTAACATTAATGGATGTTCAGGGGGTACAAGTGCTAAAGAACAGACACTGGAGATGGCCTATGTATTATTTTTTTGTGTGCTACATTTCTTCCATGACCCCATGAACCACAATTGATGTCTCATTCCTTGCTTTCTTAAGCATCTTTTGTTAGGCTCTGATGCAATGGTAACTTGAACAATAATTAGAGTATAAGGGGCTCACAAAGCAAATGCCTCCTTCAGTGCCTTCCCTGCCCAGGCAAAATTCAGTAAATGGCCCAATTATAGTTCAGAGGGGCTGTGGGGGGAGCTCTGATGTGGTGATTAGGACAAAGTGTGTTCAGCTGGAGTCACAGGTCACCTACAGTTCAGCAGCACATGAAGGGGGGCCAGGCCCTGCTCTGATTCCAGGGGAAGGAATAGTTGTGTGACCCCCAGGAGCAGTGGGGTGGTTCCAGCTCAGGTGAGTGCTGGGCTGCAGGTATCCACCCCTTCCTACAGCCTGCAGCAGAGGGGATTTTGGCCATAAATCACACCGTGGTTGGGGTTTAAAGGACCCTTAAAGCTCAGCTGGTTCCAACTTTCCACTATCCCAGGTTGCTCCAAGTCCTGTCCAACCTGGCCTTGGACATTTCCAGGGATCCAGGGGCAGCCACAGCTTCTCTGGGCACCCTGTGCCAGAGCCTCCCCACCTTCCCAGGGAACAATTCCTTCCCAATATCCCATCTAACCCTGCTTTCTTTCAGGTTAAAGCCATTCCCCCTTTTCCCATCTCTAAAAATGCCTTTTAAAGCCTCTGGGATGCTCAAGGCTCTCATCCCACAGAGCTGGAGCAAAAGCAGAAGTTTTTGTGCAAACCTGGATGGGGTTTCCCAGCCATTTCACAAATGTCTGTTTTATAACCATCAGTATCTACAGAACCATCTTTCCATCAAGAGGGAGAAAAAAGCCCTGGTGATGGGAGTCACTGAGTTTGATTTAAGCATCTGTGCTAAAATGACATCAAGCCCTTTGTGTGTGTTTATTGCTCCCCATGAACTGAAATCCAGCTGAAGGGGTTTAGCTCACAGAGGGGCACTTGGCTCCAAGGCAGGACAGTGTCTACATTTAATTCCCTATTAGATATTCCAGGATATCCCCTGGAATCCCACTGCTCCCACCTCAAACTATGTCCCAGTGACTGCAATGGGAGCCTGACATTTGCACTGGAAAAACTCTGGCATCCTTTCACAAGATTTTGCCTCCTTTTGCTGGTCCAAACATGGCCCCAAAACTGCCACAAAAGACTCATGAAATAGAATTTTCTGACGGAAAGAATTCTGCAAATGAAAACTGTGTTTTTATAGGTAGTTGTCATGGATTCGAGGAGAAGAGCACAAACCAGGGTAGTGTGGTCAGTCCCTGAAGCTGCTCAAAACACCTGAACAGAGGTGGTTAAATTATGGTCTGGCTGCAGTCTGTAGGGATGGGGAGCATCCACAGGAGCTCTGAGGACCTTCTGCCTATCAGCCAGATGCTCCCTGGGGCCAGGAGTCGAAACTATCTACATTTCAGTCCAAAGTTATTACAAACTGCACAAAAAAAATGTGCTTTATTATTGTATCTTACCTTAAAAATAGAATCACAGAATCACTGAGGTTGGAAAAGCCCTCTGAGATCAAGTCCAGCCATTCCCTTGGCACTGCCAAGGCCACCACAAAACCATGTCCCCAGGTGCCACATCCACCTGTTTTCTGAACATTTCCAGGGTTGGTGACTCCACCACTGCCCTGGGCAGATGTGCCAGGGCTGGACAACCCTTTCACTGCAGGCATTTTTCCTAATATTCAATGTAAACCTCCTGTGGTGCAATTTGAGGCTGTTTCCTCTTTTCCTGTCAGAGAGAGGGATCCACACCCTATCATTTTATGGATTTCCCATCACTGAACTGTTGCTACCACCATGAGGTGTTTCTTTTTCCCGAGGGACAGATTGTTTCAAGCAGGAAGGTGCCCTGGGAAGCCCCAGAACAAAGCAGTGGAGAGGTGTTTCTGCATTTGCAGAACCTCCAGTTTTCTTCTGAAGGGCGCTTTGATGTGCAGCTCACAAGAATCAGAACATTTTTCCATGAGTTTTTAGGGCTTTCATTACTTTATCATTTCATGGTGTGGGCAGACAAGTGAGCACGTGCAGGGTCTGATGCTTCATTCCTTAATCTGTGAGAAATTAATTCCCAATGCAAGACCCTGGGGTGATGAGGAGGATGAGGTCGAGCGTCTCTTGTGCTTTCTTCCCCTGGGTCACAGATTTTATTCCCTCAGACTGAAGCTGTTTGGGAGTCCAGCTTGGCTTTGTGTGCCTGGTGGGGAGCAGAACACCTCTGGATCCAGCTGAACACGAAATCCCAGCTTGCCCTGGGCTTGGGGAATGGCTGTGATGACTCAGAAGAGCCATTTCTCATTCCATGACAGCTTTGAGGGGAAGCTGTGACTCACAGGCACATCCAAATTC